ATAATCCGTGCCATCTCCTTTCCCTTGAGTGATTTTGAAATATAACAGATTGCATTTTCACTTAATTTGTATTTTGCAAGTTGATTTTCGTTAATTTCCCATGGTGTTGTTTTTCACTCTCAGGAAAACCACCTATTTAAAATATTATTTCTTCAAATCTTAACTTTAAAAAAAAAACGTTTACTGAATAAAAGTAAATGTTGCAACCATGTCTGCGCCATCAAATTTAGGGGTGATCGCGTTCGACCACAAGGAACGGTACTGCGAACAGGAGACAGAAGAATACGCAACTAGACTAGAGAATAAGCTGGGTTGGTCCTTTAGACGCGTGTCTGTAATTATTCATTATTCAATTTTCATTTTTATTTTGCAATAAAATTAATTGTTCAATCCAATATATTATTAGTGTGTGTGTAAGGAGCGTTCAAAGGTTAGTTGATTAAATGTTATTTTGTTTTTCAGAGTTCAATTTATGCAAGTGCCTATTATTTTGTTTATTTTTATGTATTTTTTGTTTGTTTATAATATTTTTTTATAACATGAGCATTGTTCATGTATTTAACAAAAATCTTTTCATGCTGTAAATAACACAGATAAAGAAGTAAATTAAAACCTAACAAATTATGTGCTGTCTTTTTGTGCTGAGATTCCGATTTCGTGTATTTATAGCGTACATTAGGGCCTTGTTGGAATTTACTAACATTTTCCTACCCTGACGAGAGAATATCCTAGCAAATTAAAATAATCAATCTAGAGATATTCATGCCTATGATGTATCCGGTCCTGTTATTTTAACGGCTGTGTTATGGCTCAACATCTATTGTTGTCTCTATTTTGACGTATAGAATAAACAGTGACAGATAACTTAACGTGGCTGTTAAAATAACAGAGAATGATACATCATAGGCCTGATTATTGGCTCAAAAACAACTATAGCTGAGTAGCTTTCCGTATGGGACCTCAGTACCTGCTGGGAAACTGGCTAACTAACAAAAAAAACTTTTCAGTATTGAATATAGGTAGTTTTGATTGAATGTAGAGTGTGTGATTGAAATTTTAGCACAAAGACAAAGAAGCGGTACCTAATTTAAACTTTTATTGACTTAAATTATTGAATTATTGACTCACAATTATTATTAAAATGACACAGTATGATTCGATTTTTGAGGAATGTTAGATCGAGGGTTTCTCTGCCGTGCTCTTTTCCCTCGTTAGTTCCAGGATGAAAAAGGTACGATTTACTTTAATAATAAAGTAGACGTTTCACAATTTTTTCGTTTCTTTTACATATCACAACTTCCCTTAAATTTCCCTAATATTTGCTATGTCGGGCGCATGTCCAGTAAGTAAAATTGAGTAAGTCTCCACAACGTAGGTCCTATTTGTTTTTTATTTCGTTTTTCAGACGATTTTTTGTTTGAAAGGTAATACAAAATTCTCATCGTTCAATCTTACTGAACGAACCCGGGTATGTTACACTACAACTCGAAAATTTTGAAATTGTGATATAATGAGTTCCTATTTTTCTTCTTTTTATCCTACAAATTTCATAATTTTCCCTCTAGTAGTTTTCTAGGAAAATATTAAAATGTAAAGAGATTGCATTTTGGCTTAAAATAGATTTTGCAAGTTGATTTTCATTAATTTCTCATGGGGTTGTTTTTCATTGGAAAATTTTGAAATTTTAATATAGTGAGTTCCCAATTTTTCTCTTTTCCTCTTAAAAGTTTTACAATTTTCCTTTGACTTTCAAGATTTTTAAAGTTCGACACAAAGTTTTAACTTTGGGGCTCGATATTCTAAAAAGTACTTATATTATTCAGGATAAAAGATACAATTTTATTTTTTCTTACAGAGTGTTCAATTATTATACTGAAAATTGGGCTGTTGCCCGTTATTTAAATTAAAAATAAATAAATTAATTTAATTGTTTTTTAATTTTTGTTTAAACAAAATGATATTTGTTCCTAGTAAAACATTAATTTGTTTCTAAGTAAAATACCCATTAGTATCGATAAGAGGTTAAAAGCAATTTTATCTCAAGAAAAAAAAAAATCCAGCCACTAATGCGATTTGAAAATTAATTGTAACATTTTATTAATTAATTTTTAAAGTTAAAAAAATTGAAATAAAAATCTTCAAAAAAAAATTCAAATATTTCAAGTGCCAAAGGCCATTGCCATTAGTAATAATTGCAAAAACTCATTTTTCTGCTGATTTGGTTATCTGAAAAAAGCAGAATATTATGCATTGCAAATTCCTAGAACACAGTCATAATGTATGGGTTTCATTGTAGGTACTTACATGTAATTATTTTTCAGCTTGCAAATATTTTAGTAAAAAAAAAAAATGCTTATTGATTCAACTTGTTAAGAAGAATTTAATTAAGAGCTTTTTGTAATTATAAATACTCATTGATTTTAATGAAATAAACTATTTTAACAATAAGATTCGATTTTTTGAAAAGAAAAATAGTTATTTATGCAACAAGTGTGTAAAGTGAATCTTTTTTCACGAATGTGAATTTTAACGCACGAGCCGAAGGCGAGTGCGACAATCAGGGCCGTAGCCAGCGGGGGGGGGGGGGGGGGGCATTGGGGGGCAATGCCCTATCTTTCAAGTGATGATGCGCTACCTTTAAAACACAAGATGCGTTAAGGTTTCTCTAGGAAATTTGGAAGAGTAGACAATGCAGTAAATTAAAATAAATGGAAATCGAGTGAGTGCGAGGATAAAGGTTGCCAGAAGCGTCTTGTATAAAACAATGTTTGACATGGTTTGACGTTTGACATTTGCACAGAGGAATTTTTTTCTTTCGAAAGAGTGCTAATGGCCCAAGACGGCGCAAGAATCAGCGCCATTTTGTTTACTTGCCAGATATGTTATTTATTGACAGGTGTTCCTAAAGTTGATAATAGGTTTGTTCGGACTTAGTTCAGAATCAGTTCTGAATTGAACTGCGCATGCGCATTTGTTTATATGTGTTCGATATGGACAAATGCGCATGCGTAGTTCAATTCAGACCTGATTCTGAAATAAGTCCGAACAAACCTAATAGGTTGCCTGGTAATGGGTAACTTAATGACGCATCTAGGGTGCCTTGGAGATTTTCACTATATTCAGGCACCCCAGATGACGTCATTAAGTTATTAGGCAACCTACCTCTCTCAAACAACACTGATTTATTGAAAAATTTGCCTTCGGGGCCATTATCCCTCTTTTTTTTAATCATCTTTAAAAAGTTTAAGGGGGGGGGGGGGGTGTATGCACTATGTCAAATTTGTTATGCCCTACCACAAATTTGCCTCTAGCTACGGCCCTGGCAACAATCACATGAGTGAAAAAAGGTGCTTTACGCACGTATTGCATACAAAAAAAATTTTCTACTACCAATCAAATATGTGTAAAAAATAGATTTAGACAGATACTTTACGCACTTAGTGTGTGACGTAATTTACCAGAAAAATACACTAAATTGATAGTGTTGACATCTATCATTGACATTACTTCACTTCACTGTTGCATGACTAGTCTATGAAGTGAATAACTTTATGCCCATATCTTCAAATTTGAAAAAAAATTAAAAATTATTTGTCTATACATATAACAATTCACTTGAAATTTCCTCTCCATTTCTCAATTTTCGTTTATTTCTAGCTTTGGAATTTTTGTTTCCTTCTAACCTTTTCATTCTTATTACTATTTCTTTCTAGTTAGAGAAAAATATATAAGTAGGTACACGAATTAATGGATTTTTGTTTGAATTAGTCTGGATGTTTCCCAGGAAGCATATTGACGTCTAAATAATGTTATTTTAGAGTAAGTTTTCGTCCGTGACGTCATTTTACCAAAATATAACGTGATTTGAAACGTTACTTTTGTTAACGTCATATTATAAAAGTCATGAGTTCGACAACAATATTTCGTCATTTTTTTTTTTTGAGAATATTCACGTCATGAAATCACGTACTTTAACATCATCAAATCACGCATTTTATGTCCTAAAATGACGTCTTCCCTGTGACATATAGTCACGTGACTTTATCGTCTTCTAGATGTCATTTGAAAAATGAAAACCAGAGTCTCGTCTCACAAAATATAACCAGAAAAAGTCATCAAAAACTAATCATTCACGAGCCAATAATAATCAAAATTTAAATTATTCCCGGCTCTTGATTTCCTCTGGAAAAAATTTCTAGGAATTCAATCGTCGGTAATAATCAACATTTGCACCGTTTTTGGTCCTTGATATGTTCTAAATATTTAAAGACATATTTTTTCAATCATTTTCTAATCATTCAATAATCAAAATTTAAATTATTCTTGGCTCTTGATTTCTTCTGGAAAGGTTTTCTAGGAAATCAAACGCCGGTAATAATTAAAATTTGCTAAAAACAAGAGAAAACATTCAGAATGAAAAATCGAGAAATGTTGTAGAGAAAATTCATGGTAAGTTGAAGAAAAATTGTTAAATGAATATAAACATTCCAAATTCTTGCATTTTCTGTTTTTCTTTCAAATTCTTTTGATTAAAAAATGTTATAAAGAAGACAAAAATTCAAGAGCCAGGAATAGACAAAAATTAGGACAATAAAAAGGAAATTTGAGGTAAATTTTGCCAAAAGAGCTACAATCTTTGAAAATTTGAAAATTTCTTTAATTTTTCTAGAATCTTTACTCCAATTTACGCATACTAGTGCTGTAAAAATATGAAACAAAATTCAAAATTCTGCAAAAATATCAAATTACACTCAAATTAAATGACTGTAAAAATCTAAAATTAACCTTTATATGTCAAGAGGCATAAAAATTCGCGATATATAAACTCGAGATACCAACACATAAGACCAAAAACCTAAAAATAAATTTTCTAATTTTAACTCTCCGACAAATCGAGTGTGCGGGGCCTTATGTAACGCAATATTTTCGATTTTTGCGCGGCGATTTTATAAACAGAAAATTTAAAAATAACTTTCGAGCCCCAAAAAAATTTTACTTACTTTTTGTATGACCAAAGGGGTACCGAAATCCTTTCCCCCTTGCAATCTGAAGCCCCAACTAGGAGCTTCGCCCTTATTCAAACGAACCGTCGTTGCCGTCATAGCACTCACTTTTTCGATAGTTGCACTATTTTTTTTTTTAAATCCGTTCGATTGTGTACGCGGTTTTAACCGTAATATCGGAACTTGTAGTAATGCTGGTGCTTAATGGGTGAGACTGAAAAAGCTGGGTGTAGAAAAGTTTGTATGGCGATGAGCAAAGTGGGAGCAGTAGGAGATGCGTATTTATTAATAGAGAGTTTTGCTTGGCTTGGGTTTTTTTGCTTTTTTTTTTTTTTTTTCATTGAGGGAATGTTTGAGGCAAAACATACAAAAATCTCGAAACCATTATGTCAATTGAATTATGTAAATAGATAGAGCTTATTAGAACTACAATTCCTAAAAATTTTAATTCAAAATCTCTCACGGATTTTGAAGTTTAAAGATTTTGAAATAAAAATCCCTTTGAAAAAAAATCAAAATTTCATTTTTTTAAATTTTTTTTTACAATTTTCATTTTTTGCAATCAGAGCCGCCGCTATAAGGTGTTAGCATTCGCTGTCTTTCTCCGTTCCTCTACGCTATTTTTTTTTCTCTCTCATATAACAAAATTTGCCAAAACGTATAATGCGTCTTTCAAAATCACTCTCCATTCTCGTCCAAATATCAGACCGCCGCCTAAGAAGTTTCACTTCCAAAAATAGAATTTACATAAGGGTTACACCCTTTGAATTCTGATTTCAATATCTTGAAACCTCGATTGCTCGGTAACCGTTGAGGAAATTGCATTGAAATTTTCAGCATTTGTAGCTTCTATTAGGCTCTAAATGACCTATAATTTACAATATTACCAGATTTATAGTTTTTGAGCAAACTGAGTTTAAATTTTTGAAAAAATTTCGACTAAAAGTCAATTTTAAGAATTAATTACTCAAAAACTGTTCGAGCTATTAAACTCATTTTACACAGATTTATAAAGAATTTAATGCTCTTTCCAATGATGTATAATTTATTTCAATTTGCTCGAAATTTAACAAAGATATGGACAATTTAGGCAGAATTCCATTTAAACTATAGGAAATGTTAAAGAAAATATTATGCGAAATTATATTGTAATTATATTGGAACTATGTGAAATTTGATAAAAATTATATGAAAATATATTGTAATTTCTTTTGGAATTTCCAGGTATTTCATGAAATTCCATTTAATTTCAAAAAATAAATAAAAAATTACATAGAAATTATGCGGAATTCCATAAAATTTACGCGGAATTCCATTGAAATTACATAGAATTTCAAATAGATATGCTAAATTCCATTAGAATTATGCAGAATTCAAGTGAAATTAAGGAGTAATGATGTGGAATTCCAAAGAAAAAATAATTTATTTTAGAAAAATTACATGGAATTCTATAGGAATTTTACAAAACTCTATAGAAATTATGCGAAAATGTATAGAAATTATGCGAAATTTCAGTAAAATTGAATAGAATTTAATGAAATTTTGTAAAAAATATGCAAAATTTTATTGAAATTATGCTGAATTCCATAGAAAAAAAAAACGTTTAATTCTAAAAAAATTACATAGATTTGTATAGAAATTACGCAAAATTCTATAAAAATTATGCGAAAATTCAATAAAATTAAATGAAATTCTAAAAAAATGGCGTAGAATTCCAAAAAAATCGTTGAGTTTCAATTACCTACCTAAATTACATAAAAACCCATAGAAATTATATGGAATTCCATAAAAATCCTGTAAAAACTATGAGGAATTCCATTGAATTTATGCTGAATACCATGGAAATGATGCCTAATTTTATACAAAATATGCAAAATTTCATTGAAATTTTTGAAAATATGCCAAATCCCATCAAAATTCTAGTGTAATTAAATGAAAAACGACATAGAATTCCAAAATAAATCGAAATCTCATGAAAATTATGTGGATTTAAGCTGTATATATATGTATATGTAATTCCATAAAAATTATGCGAAATTTCCTAGAAGCTATGCAAACCTCCAAAGAACTTCTGCGGAATTCTGTAGAAAATATGCAATGTTCTATAAAAACTATGCAAACCTCTATTAAAATTATGCGGAATTTTATAAAAATTGTGTGCAATTAAATAAAATTCCAGTAAAATTTGAACCGACGTAAAACCCCAAACAAAAATATGTGGAATTTCTGTGGAATTCCGGTAATATTATGAAATTCCGATGAAATTCCATTAACTTTCCTAGAATTCCAAGTAATTTCTCTAAAATTTTAAATTATTCTCTTGAAATTCCAAAAAAAAAATATGATAATATTTGAATTTTTTCAAATTTAGTAAAAACAATAATTTTTCCAGTACATTTTAAAGACCTTTACACCGTCGTTACGGTTGCGCTGAATTTTACCGTATATACTTCAAAATTCAGGCAAATTTTTATTAATCAATTATTAATAATTATTGAAATTTCAAATAACTAATAAGCTACTAAAAAATTACTCAAATATCAAAAATCTTGTGAATTTATTTAGGATTTTAGTAGAATTACGTGGAAATCCGATGAAATTCCATTATTTTTTTTGAAATTCTAGAAAATTCCTGTAAAAATTACATGAAATTCTTGTGAAATTTTAAATAATTCTTACGAAACTATTTGGAAATTCATTGAAATTCCGGTAGAATTTCGAAAAAATTCCAATGAAATTCCACGTAATTCTCCTGGAATTCCAAATTATACTCGTGAAATTCCAAAAAATTCCCATAAAAATTACATTAAATTTTCATGTAACTTTTAAAAAAATTTGTGAAATTATTTAGGGGAATGATGTAGGATCCCGGTAAAATTATGTGATACTGCGAAAGAATTACGACAAAATTTGCCAGTATTTGACTTAATGCCTCCAGAATTTTAAGTTATTCTCGTGAAATTCCAGAAAATTCCCATAAAATTCCAAAATATTTACGTAAAATTACGTGGAATTCGATAAGTTTCAAAAAAAAATTCTGTAGAATTACATGTAATCCTTGTGAAATTCCAAAAAAAAAATTCTTAAAGTTACTTGTAACTTCAGTGGAATTTTGAAGAATTTCTATGGTATCACTTGGAATTCTCGTAAAATTGAAAAAGTTAAACGCATTTCCGTAAATTACATAAAATTCTTGTGAAATTACTTAAATTTTTTATTGAATTCTCAAGAATTCTCGTGAAATTACATGGAATTCCCGTAGAATAACTCAACATTTAAGTAAAATTCTGAAATAATATGAAATTCTCGTGAAATTTCAAAAAATTCTTGTGAAATTACTCAATACTTCAGCAATATTCCTGTGGAGTAAATCGGAATTTTAGTGAAATTTAAAAAAAAAAAATGTGAAATTCCAGAAAATTTCTTTAAAGTTACTTGGAATTCCCGTGGAATTGAAAAAAACCCTTCCTACGAAATAACTAGAAATTCCATAAAATTTCCATAAAATAATGTACTTGAAATTTTGAAATTTGACAGCTGTCAACGTCAAAAAAATGTTTTTCCAATTTTTGTTAAAAAAAATTTACAATGGTCGGAAAACGATCCGCCGATCTCAAAAACTCTTTAAAAAAAATACGTTGTCAATATGTCAAAAAATGACAGCCTGACAAGTTAAAAATGTCTGTTTTGACATATGTCAAATATAAAAAACGCATGCGGATAGAATTTTTGACGGTGATATTGACAGATGTCACCTGTCAAATCTAACACATGTTTACCTCTCTTTCCGCTTTACCATACAAAGTACGATTACCAAACTCGATACATGACGGATAAATGTCATAAGGTATCTGTCAATTTTTTTTTGACAGCTGTCAAAGTTTCTTTTTATTTTCCGTTTTTCAAAAAAAAAAATGGCGGATAACGATGCCCGGAACCCAAAAACCGTATAAGAAAATTCACTTCGATATATGTCAAAAATTGACGGTTTGACAGCGAAAAACGTATTTTTTTTGACACAAATACACACACACACACACACGTTTTAAAAAACTCGAAATTTTTTCCAAAAAAAAATTCTTAATTCAATCTATAAGGTGTTTTATAAATAAACTATGCAAAAATTGTTCCATTTCCCAAAAAACCACCTTGTATCTTGGACAATAATTTTTTTCAATAAAATCCAAATAGAGCCTCTAATGGGACAAAAATTTTCTTTAAAATTTTGAAATTTCAACTCTGTACAGAGGGTTTATAAAAGAAAGTTGCAAAATTCAAAAAATTGGTAAACCTTAATGCATTGAAAAATCCTTAAATTGAAATGCCTTGTTACTTTTTTAGGACACCCTGTATAAAAGCGATATTTCACAGTGTGATAGAGCAATTTATTGCCTCTTAGAAACCTTAATTAAAATATTTCCGAAAAAAATCGTAGCTTCAATCTACAGGGTGCTTTATAAAGTTGTGCAAAAATTGTTCTATTTCCCAAAAACCACCTTGTAACTTGGACTATAAAAATTTTTCCAATAAAATCCGAATAGAGCCTCTAATAAGATAGGACAATAATTTTCTTTAAAATTCTGAGATTTCATCTTTGTACTGGGTGTATAAAAAAAGTTGCAAAATTTAGAGAGTTGGTAAGCCTTAGGGCATTAAAAAATCCGCAAATTTAAATGTTTGTAACTTTTTAAGGACACCCTGTATAACGTATATGCGAAATTTTACAGTTAAATAGAGCAAGGGTACTTTCCAAATTTCACCGATAAATTGACCGGTTAAATAAACCGGTAGCTGTCAAAAAATTCTGGTAAAGTTAGGTGTAAGTCCGGTTACGAGATTTTTCTGATGCATTTTGGAACGCTTTGGGGCCATATTCTCCGTAGTTCATAAAGCCTGGCTTAGTGGAAAAGCTCGGCTTTGTCACACAAAAAGCCAAGCGTTTCTACTAAGCCAGGGTTTATGAACTACGGAGAATATGGCCCTTGGTGTTAAAGGGGGTGTGACCCAAAAAAGAAAGTTTTAGTGCAAAAAAATCTAACAATAAATATTTTAACCGCATCTTGCTACGATGGTCCGTTTTCGAGTTAGGGCGGTTTGAAGTTACAACTAGGTGTTTGTGACGTCACACTGGATTATCAAGGACAGTATTAACACGTGTAAGAATATTCCAAAACAAAAGACAATTATCTCCTAGAGCGATTTGCAACCACTCAAAGTATAGGGTATGGTTCACTGA